TAATTTTTCGGTCGTTCGTAAACATCGATACATATTTTGGATACCATCATGAATCCGCAGGCGAAGTATTTTCATCGCCATGAAGAGTACATGTTGTGGAGTAACTCCTCGCCTGTCGCTGCGTCGAATTTCTGACATACACATTGTGTATGCAGTGGCCCGCACACCGGCTTGATAGTACGAGGAAAGCCGAAGTATATCGCCGGGAATGACAGTTCCTCCGCATATGTGTCAAAAATCAGACTCTCGGATATTGAGTGTTGTCCCGGGGCAATGTCTAAGCAAGAATCCTCGTTCCACATCATCGTTTGCTGGCGCGCGTTAATGAGCTCGGATTCGGTCATATCTTCGACATTGAGTGACTCCATATCTTCGTCATCACGCCTTTCGGTACTCGATATTCGATTCTCTAGATCGTGCCAATCTATTTTGATATCATAGCGCTTGTAGAGAGGCTGCTCGATCAAATATTGTAACCAGGCTTTGACGGTGGATTTCTTCACGTAACCACTCAAATATGATGATTTGTGAACTAAACTCTTCTTCAAATTCACGTTGAAAGCGTGATCGTCGTCCAAATCTCGAGGTACGTTTTGAACCATGGTTTTGACATCGACCGGAACATTGATCACTTGTCCAATGATACCGTAGCAGCCGTGACGCCTCAGACGACGGATCTGCATGTACGGAATCCTTGGGGAGACTAATCTCTCGCTTATCGGATCTAGCTTTGGGAGGCCTGACGGTTTTGGAGGGTACATATACCCATTGCTCCTACTCATTGGCGGAATTTTCTCTGTTCTGCATGTTTTGTTGCAGGAGGAACAGAGTTCAAATTCCGAGGTATCCTCACCCGGAAAATGGTTCGCTAGAAAATGTGCAGTCGAGCTTACAATTTTCTTGAGGTCTTGTCGGAACCATATACGATCACACACATCGCATTTGTGCCCAAATTCGTTTTCGATGAACGTCTTCCGAAATCGAGCGTTTGCGCGCGACCATGCTGGTTGGTATCCAGGACCCCTTGTCGGTATACGATAGTTTGTTTCTCTGACTGTCGCACCCATGTCGGTCGTTGGTATGAGTTCTGGATCCATGTCATCTGCTCCATTTCCTCGAGTCGAGACCTCCTGACAATGCCGTCGTTCTCGATTCATAGCCGAATTCCCTGTCGTAGCCCGCGGTCTCTTACGCCGAGCGCTGGCAGCATGATCATTGCTTCTTGCACGTCGTTTCTGACGCTGCAAGCTCGCAGTCTTGGGTCTCATGGCGAGTCAATGAATTCGACGCCAAGATAACATCGTTTCCACAGAAGAGCAAGCATTAAAGCATACCATGAACTGATTTGTTATAATGGTTTCACGATGCCTTCACCACCCTATCGAACGCATGCTTATCGCAGTTCCCAGGAAAGGACGAAACAGAAAAGCCTGATGGGTCTTGCGATGGCAAAGATATACAGTACAATCGGCTTAATGGGACCACATCGGGACCGAGCCATTTTGGTCCGAATCAGCGGACGGTCCGATAATGCGGACTGACAGAGAGAGGCGCCAAAATCACCCATTTATCTCCCTGTATCGTATCTGGATGCTCTGTGAAGCCTGCCGAACACTGACGAGTTGCTCCTGTGGCTCCTCGTTCCCTGACAGACTCCCTCGCTCGAATTTTGGGCTGAGTTTTTCCACCCCGTTGGCTCTAAAGATTATATTTTCGAAAAATAGAGGGGACCAGAACGGTCCGATTAAGCGGACCGTTGGTCCGATAAACCGGACGGGGGTTGGGGGGGTCAGGTGACGATTCCGATTTGGCCAGAAACGGAGAACACGTGTGCACATCGCAGCGATAGTTTTTTCCGCCGGTCTCTGAGCTGAAGACTGTTCTAAGTAGAGCGTAAGTTAGTGGCCTTGTGGTCGTTCGCACCGGGGTGCTCGGAGCTCGGAATGTATGTGCATACGTCGTTGTTTGTATAGAATCAAAGGTCGGAGGTAGAATCACCAATTATGCAATTATTTATGAGCTTGCGCGGATGATTACGAGGGTGATTGGGAATCGCTTCAATATACCACCGCGAGGGGACAAAGCCCAGATAACCTGCTCCCACGTTGTTCTCCCGTAAAGCCATCATCCTACGCTTGACTTATGGGGATCCGTCGAAAACTCGATGAGTTATAACGTCACAAAAGCGGACAAAATTCCGCTCCATAGAGACGAAGTTTTATGGAAATAACCCCCAGCCTATTTAAAGACGTTTTCACGTCAAAAGAAAAAAAGAGAAACAAAATATAACACATACATATACCAACAATAACCACAAATACAGCACAAACAACGAGTAAAACACGATAATTACACCACAATAAGTCCCGCTTATAACGAACCCCAGACCTCGTATAACGCACCCCACGTATGACAAACCTCGCGTATAACGAACCTCGCGTATAACGAACCTCGCGTTTAACGAACCTCGCGTATAACGAACCTCGCGTATAACGAACCTCGCGTATAACGAACTTCGCGCATAACGAACCTCGCGTATCGAGACGCTCGCTTGTGACGAACCTCGTGTACCACGAACCTCGCGCACAGAGAACCTCACGTTTGAAGAACCCCGCGTGTGAAAAACTTCGTTTATGGAGAAGCTTCTTCACAGCTCGTTCGAAAGCAACAATTTCTATCCGCATAATGATGTCGATGATCTCAAGCTTTGAGGAGTCGCCTCAAAGTTCGCCAAGAGGTCGAATGGTTTTATTTATCGGACACCTCCTCAAATGGATTCTATATCTACGAGGAATGCCGGGAATGGGTCGCTATCATTGTGTTCGAATTAACCATTGTCTAGCACTTGATCTGCTCGCTCGTTCGCCGTAGGAGAGGGTTGTGCATCCGGACCGAGCCCCTTAATTAAGCCGCTCACAACCGCTTCCACCGACACCGCTTCAAAGGCCTTGGCGACGACTTCGGCAATTTTCGTGTAACTCATCCGCCTCCGACGTCCTGCTCTAAGAGAAATTGAGACACGAGGCATTTCCCTCGGCCGACATCCATTCTTCCCACAACTTTCTTAGGTTGTCTTTGAAAACCTTGTTGACACTTAACTCCAGGGGCTAACAGAATTTAGCCGAAGCCCCTGGAATGACGGCAACCTCAGAATGCTTGTCCAATTTTGTTATAACTCGATCCGTCAAGTGACAGCGGGCTGAGTCCATAATCAGCAATTATTTGCTGGGATCGGGATTCGGGATGAGCAAAGCGTCGTCCTCTACACACTTCGTTCAGCCATTCAATCATAAAAGATTCATTCATCCAGCCCTTCTGGTTCGCATTGACTACGACACCAGGCGGAAAGTCTTCTCCAGGAATTAGCTTTTTTTTCGAAAATGAGCATTGGGTAGTTTTTCCCCGGGGACTTTTGTTCTTTTCATTACCGGTGGAGTCGATTTTCACGGCGTCTGAACCTCTTGGTGCGACGGTTCGTCCAGCGACTATATCGGAAGGCACTGGTACCTCGTCGAAATCGCCGATGTTCGACGAATCGATGTTGTCGCTTACTTCGGAGTAGAATTTACGGAACGACTCTATCTTTTCGACGTAATCGTCGGGGTCTGGTTGGCCCACACTCGCTGGCCCTCTAACGCTGAAGTCGTTGCGTTTCAAGAACTTACGCGCCCATTCATTGGAAGCTTTGAACGTCGTGTCGCCGAGCTCTCGCATAACCTCGAATGCCTGACCTTGAATGTCTCGAACCATCACGGCTCTGTTTTTCGCTCCCTTCGTGAGAGCCCGTTCCTTGAATTTGGCTTCCGTGTCTCAGCTATACCTGGCCGCGTCTGAACGCCCGTCGACTCCTTTGGTGTTCCTCAGCATGCCCTCTTTTGTCTTCCAGTCATGCAGCATGCTTTTTGAGATGCTGAATTTGAGTAAAAATTCTGCCTGTCCGTGGACTTTATCAACTCCGATGGCTTCTAATTTACGTTGAGACGTATAAGAGACTCCGGTTGTTTTCATTTTCGAAGTGGAGCCGACCTTGCAAGGATGAGCACAACAGACTGCGAACACTTCCCACCAATTTGACCACAAAGAGTGTGCTTCGTCGCCGCACTGGAAGAATCATATTTGTAGGCTCCCGTAGAAAAGCGCGAGAAGCTGCTGAAATTCCTGTCGATTTTTGATTTTTTTCTATCAATACCTACCTACCTACCGACCTACCTATCTACCCACCGATGATTCAGACTGCATGTCGGCCTGAGGTATGAATCAACTCACTCCGCGGCGAAGCTCTCGCTCAGTGAACAGTGAAGTCGTGCATCGACATCGATTTTCTTGCATCGACATTCTTCCAGTGAACGTGCACCTCGATGAAGCACCGCACGCGATTCAGCAGCGACCGAGGTCAAGGAAATAAAACGGGTATCGCCGAATAAGATGATCTGTGAAAATCGGAATCGACGCACGGCTCGAGATACCAATTTCAAAAAGTCCGCTTGGAACTCGGCGATTCGATTTCGAGAGTGACCGGGAGGCCCGATAGCATTGCTGTCCCCATAAGTATGTACGAAGCTCGTTTCACGCGCGGAATTTCTCAAACACGCGGGGTTCGTCATACGCGCGGTTTGTCACACGCGAGGTTCGCTACGCATGAGGTTCGTCATACGGAAAGCTCGTTATACGCGAGGTTCGTTATCAGTGGGACTTCAGGGTACACAACACTAATCCCACGGAGACCACGATTCCAATCCATACGGAGGACCATAATATCTCCAAACAGCATAAACGGCGAACGTAACCTCCTGAACACGCTCTCGGTGAAACTGCTTCCTCAACACGATCCGGATTTGCCTGCTCAAACTCAACGACCACTTCGTCATTCTCCTCTTCACGCAAGCAACGTGATCCTAAACGGTGCGCGACAGCTCGGCCACGGCGCCGGCGTCAACTCGGCCACTACGACAACTCGGCCACTACGACGACTCGGCCACCGCGACATCTCGGCCACTTCGACAACTCGGCCGTTACGACAACTCGGCCACTGCGACAACTCGGCCACCATGGAGACTCGGCGCCGACGATCGCTCGGCTTTCCTTGACTGAGTTGATTTCATGATTGACCTCGGAGCCTCGATGAGCACGAGATACGTCGTTCTCTCGGAGCACCCTCTTCGAGATACGAAAGGTCTAGGAAAAACGGCGGATTTGTCTCGAGGCTTCTTCCCCACTATTTCCCCGAAGTGTATTTTCGCGGATATCAAGGTTCCATATGACATTCGTACTTCAACTTCACGCGATAGCAGGACAAGGATTCCGCTCGAACGGTTGCTAGAATTGCTCGTGCCGTTCAGTCTTCTTCCCGTATCATCGATCCTACGGTGATATATACCGGCGTATTTGGATTTGGATACTCCCCCGTCACCTTCATCCATAGGAGATGACTTGACTTCGAAGTGCAATTCCGATGTGGAACATTGGTAGCCGTTTCCGCGGAAGTTTACCCTGAAGGGATGGTGGCAGGGAGACCTCGAGGCAACTCCGTGGGTATCTCGATGAGGGTGCTCCGAGAGAAAGACGTATCTCGTGTTCATCGGGGCTCCGAGGTCATTCATGGAATCAACTCAGTCAAGGAAAGCCGAGTGCTCGTCGGCGCCGAGTCTCCAGGGTGGCCGACTTGTCGCAGCGGCCGACTTGTCACAGTGGCCGAGTTGACTCCGTGGCCGAGCTGTCGTAGTGGCCGAGATGTCGTGGTGGCCGAGACGTCGCGACGGCCGAGTTGCCGTAGTGGCCGAGTTGCCGTAGTGGCCGAGTTGACGCCGTGGCCGAGCTTTCGCGCTCCGTCCGAATCGCTCGGAAACATCAGCATTGGCAGAGACAAGGATGACAGCTCAACCTTTGATCATCACAGCGTCACCATCATCAATGACACCGACTGTCAACAACCGTCGACCGACTGCGCGATCCGACCGGCGCGTCGGACTCGGAATCCTCTCCGAGCGAGTCCGCGCGGTCGTCTCCAGCAATTCCGATTCCCGATGGGAAAGCTTCTTCGCTGACGACTGAGATTCCCCGGTGGGAAGTGTTCGACCTGATGAACCTGCCTTCGAGCTGTCACTGCAGTTTTTCCGATGGCGATGGGTTGCAGTAGGCAAGATCTGCCGATCTGTTTACTGAGGCCAGCCACCAAATCCTATTTGATCCCTGTTGAAGGTCAAGATTCGTAGCTCTGGTCAGGAGTAGAAGAGCAGCCCGTTCAGGAATACACAGAGATGCGATCTCACGAGAGGGAGATACCACAGTGAATTTTATTCGAAATCTTAGGTCTTTTATACCTAGGCAGGAGTCTAAGCTCCTCCTTACATGTACTGATCCGTACATATATACATAGGATAAGGCTACCCTGGTCTATCATAAGTAGCGTCCTAGAATACTATTGGGTGTACCCAGCATGTGGGGTGCTAGCCCAATTTCGTAC